AGAGCCCTTCCGTGAATGGGAATCGAGGAGCATTTCCTTCGTCGGACGAGACCGTGGCGGCGAAGCCAACATGGTCCACGGGCCCCAACATATCTGGTCATTTTAGCAGGGGGGCGGGTGGATGCACTTTTTTGATTCGCGGGTCGAGGGCGCACCTCTAACGGTCGAAGCTAAACGGGCCGCGCGAAGCTTGAATGAGCAAAGAGGGGGAGGGGGGAATGAGCGCAGCCTCAGGGCGAGGCCGGGAGGAGGTGAAGCCTCGGGATCAGGCGGTGCCGAAATCGACGTGCTTGCAAAGGTGCGCCTTGTCCAGCATCCCGGTGGCGACGTACTGGCAGAAGCAAGATGCTGTGGTTGGTGTTGCCGTCCGCGGCTCATCATATACACCGGCCTCGAGTTGGCGGCGAGAGGTGACGCGCCTTGCACCCGAGCGGCGTCAGAGACCAGGGGGGGTGGAGAGCATCGCTGAGCCGATGTGCAACGTTGTGCCATCGAACAGGTCGCGGGAGCGAGTGGCCCAGGCCGTGGTCGTCCAGGGTGCCAGGGCGGGTGGAAACACCAGGGCCCCCATTTCCCAAACGGTGCTTGCACGGAGGGGTTCTTGCTTGGCTTGACCATGTCGGGGTGCGTAGCGGTTTTTGCAGGCGGTGCCAGCTGTCGCCGCCGTTGCCGTCGCCGTCGCCGTCGCCGCCGCTCGGGGCGAGTGGCAGCTTCTGCGGGCGGTGCCGCCCGTCGCCGCCGTCGTCGTCTCATAGATTCTCTTTTTCGGAAAGAGAAAAGACTCGCCCCCTCCCGGGATTATCGGCGTCCCTTATCGTATTGCAAGTTACATATGATTCAGCCCCGTCGCCCATCCTAAACGTGAAGTTCATAACATGCCAGGCAGGCCGGTATCGCCCCCCGCGCCATCTTTTGCAAACTATATTATGCGCGCGCACTCGCTTATCCCACATCAGAATTTTCCAAGAATCCTTTGCGCCAAAAAACGGGACGGAGTGTGCGCGCGCGTCGAAATCTTTCAACAATTTTCGGTTTCGCAAGATTCTCAAAGTCGAGTGTCCAAAAGACATATAAAGCACATGGTTTCACAGTACGGATTTTTCCCAACATTGCGCGCGCGTTCTTGCGAATTCCCGAGGAAACCGTGCTTTCCAACATTCTCATTGCATGCGACCAAACGGGCTTCACGCGCGCGTGTCGAAATCGTTCGACGACCTTGCGCGCGTGTTGGGGTGGCACGATCCGTTTCAAGTAATAGCATGCGAGCCACGCGCGCGTCTGCCGCGCGCGCATGCTGAACTCTTTCCGAAACCTTCATCGCCGACTCGAAGACGCCGTCATCGTTGTCGGCCTGATCAGCGTCGGCGCCGTCACTGGCTGCCCTGTCGTCGGTGTCAGCATCGTCGCCAGACCGCTATTCGCATCGCCGTGTCTACCGTTGTCGACGTTGTCATGATACCGCGCCCCCCCAAGTTGCCGACTCGCGCTGAAGTGCCCGCTGGGATGTGCCGAGCGCTCAGCGCCACCGCGTTCGCGTCGGTCGCGCCGAGCTACCTGGCCGCTGCGCGTGCGAGCATGCGCGGGCTGGCGCGGCCGCAGAGATGCACCAGCCAACGCCAAGCACTCATCGCAATCGCTTCCGCATGGGTTTAGCAAACCAAGTTGCTGGTGGGTCGGTGGGATGTTTTCGCGAGCAGTGGACTTGGCTTTTTCAGAGTCGGCAAACGGATTTTTTTTAGAGAGAGAGGTTTTACCACCCTCCCCCCCCAGGGTTAAAGACCCCCCCGGAACCGATGCAGAACGCATAGGGTTCTGAATCAATGTCCATCCTACCTGTGAGCTCATACTATCCCTGCCAGGCCGCCTCCCCCCGTCCCGCCATCCCATGCAACAAATATTATGCGCGCGCTCGTTGATCAACAATCATACGTTTTCACGAATCCTTTGCAAAACAACGGGACGAGGTGCACGCGCGCGCGTCGTCGCGCGCGCGTACTGAAGTCCTTCAAAAGCTGTCGGTTTCGGAAGGATTGGAAAACCGAGTGTTCAAACAACACGCACACAAAAGCATGGTTTCGCAACGCGGATTTCCCCATTTCTTTTGTCGGTATTTTTTTCTGAGAAGCCGTAGGTTATCA